GTTTGTCTCAATAGTGTACTTGGTCATCAGTTTGCAATCATTATCTAAAATGTAAAATGTTCTCAAGTAGCATAAAGAGAAGAGACCCTTGACGTTTGAATTTACCAAGTTACTCATTACATTTTCAGTTCTCACCTCATTGTCCCTCAATAACTTACCTTTTAGTGCCTTTCCTGAATAATTCTTAATTTTTCTAGCATATTCTTTATATCTATTTGCGAAGCACCTGAAACATATAAAGAACTAGTACTCTGTGTATTATCACTGCCTCTAATTGCAGCAGAGGGGAGTGAATTCAGTGTGGTCTGAAGTTGTCTGAAAAGCATCATGAAAGAGTTGGAACTTCAGTTGATCCTTAAAAGATAAATTTGAATTAAACAGGAGAGCCAATACTGCCAGTTATTGAACTGCTAGAGCAAAGATTTGCATATATTCCAAGGACCATAAGGCAGGCTGTGTCCATTGGAAATTAGATTTCATAGATAGAGTGTGTCAACTGTAGACAGTTCTGAGAGCCAGGCAGGGCACTGACTCAACTGTGTTAAGCATTCATATATAAAAAGGAACATGATGGAAGTAGCAGTTTAGAAAGACTTCCTTGAATGAGTTGGTTAGCATCACACAAATGCACAAAAGTTTGAATACAGCTTTAAGGAACTCCTCTGAAGGCCTGAAACTCTTCTTAAGGCCTAGTGAAGAACCCCTCAACTAGAGACCAGAGGCCCAGATGGAGAATTGCTGAAATATTTATTCAAATGGTGATGAAAGCCAAAGCTAAGATGGCGGCAGTGGAAGTAGAGACAGGCATTTTTGAAGAAAAATGAACAAGATTTGATATCTCATTGGATATGAAGATGGAAGAAGGAAGGGAGGATGATGGAAGATGGCAGTTTGGTAGATTAAAAAATGGTTATGCCGATGACAGAATTAGCCATGGTCCATAGTGACTAGTTCTGTTTGTGCTTATTAGTCTTATATGCTTGTATTCATAATTGAAAGTCCTAGAAAAGAAAAAGGAACAAGTGAAGAAAACTCAAAATGCCTAAACATCCAAATAAAAGAAAGTTTCAGAACTTTGAGCTCAAAGAGAGCTACATGTTCAAGTGAGCTTTGTGAGACAAGGCAAAATGCCTTCCTCATAATATCTTAAGCCAGGAATATGTTCTTTGAATTTACAACTTCTTAAAATAGGAGTCAATAAAAAAAAATGCAGCAAGTGTTTGCTAGTTAACTGGGGAGAAAAACGTTTTTTCTCCTAACACCACATTCAAGCTCTATGTATTGACACTAATTTTAATATGAGGATATACAAACTTGTACCAGAAGAAGTAGATTCTACAATCCTTTATGTAAGTTAACTCATATATGCTTAAATTTGTTATTTTTATGTAAAACAATATTTTTAATCAAATGAAACTATAAAACAAACTGACTCTAAAGTTGGTCTGTACTTCATTTTCTTATAATCTATAATCAGGAAATCCATTCACTCCTGCTTTATAATTTTTGTGCCTTTAAGTGGTCAGAGGAATGTGACATCTGCATACAGTCACGTCTAAATTGATAATTGTCCAGGCAGAGGGTAATTTTAAAACATAGCATGAATAAAGGTTGAATCTGTATATTAGAAGGTTGTTGGGAGGTGGTGTTTCCCACCTCCCGGACCCCTGAATTTAAATGCGACCATTCTCTTTGGTGAATTTATCTTAAGGTGGGACAACAGGCTCAACACAGGCCGCAGCGTTCTGAGTGAGGAGGAGGCTGCGGTTTCCCAGCCGGTTTAAATGCAGGCTCTTCTTAGCAGTAAACCACACGCATGTATTCATCATTGATTTTCAAATGATAGGTTTCTATATCACTGGTTTAGGATCCACAGTCTTGCATTCCTGAATCTATATTATGCCCAAAGAATAACAATTTGGTGGCTGGAAACAGAAATGGTTATTATACGGCTCCAAAATGCTAGCTGGCACAATATGCTAGAAGCAGCAGAAATTCACTAGCAAAAAGCAGAATTTATTTGTTCTTAAAAATAACTCAATGCTCCAAAAATATGAATTTAAAAGTGTCATCATGGTTCAAAATATTTTACATTTCAGTATGTAAACACCTTAAAATATGTGACTAATCTTCTAAAATGGCATAATTTCCAAATAACAGGAAATATTCCAAGAGAAAAGTAGAAGGCTTTTTAAATCTTTTTTTTTAGTTTTGAGGTATTTATTGAATGAAAAACTACAATGTATGTTTACTTTTTTCCCCCTACTGATGCCCTGAATAGCTGTTTAAATAATGTGGGCAAAAAGACATAGGCTTTGTTGGAATTTCTCAGAGAGTTTACTGTAGAAAATGCAAAAAAAAAAAAAAAAAAAAAAAAAAAAAAACTTTTCTCAAGGCCTCTGTGAAGCATTTCCATTTTCACACACTGGCCCAGTGCTTGTCATATCACAGGACAACACATTTCACGAAGCGGTTTTACTTCCTTTTAGCAAAATAACTCCTCCATGCAAACCAGTATCGGCATCTACCGAGCTGGGGTTTTAGTTTCTTCTGATCTATTCAAGCTTCATTGCACTGCTTAACTGATCTTTTTTTCCCCCTTCTTTTGAAATTACCCAGCTAATTTTCCATTTGATTGTTTATATAAACCAGATCTCACACAGACTTAATAGATAAGTGACATATGTCTTCAGTGTGTCCATCTGACCTTCAGCTGACAGCAAAGTATAGAGCAGAATTGACCTTGATGTTCTCATTCTCTTTTTATCCCATAGAATCTATTAATTCAAACTAAGTTCATAACATATTCACAATAATGATTCAGGATGACATATTAAATATAAAACTCCTCTAAGCACTCCATTTTGTCAAGCATTTTTTTAAAGTGAACATACTCTCTTTTGTTTGTTTTTTTCTTCTAGTGAGAGAAGGTAAATGCATTGTTTGCTGTAACAGCTTTTGCCACGGAATACTGTTCGAATTTACTGCAAAGAAAATTTTGGCGTTTGTCATATTTATCAGCTTTAGAGAATTTGGCTAATTTTCCAGAAGTTTTCTTATAGAAGGGAATTTATATTCAGATTCAACCAACATTTCTTAAGTGACTCCTGTGTGCTCAACACATGTTTTGGGGGTGTCCAGTTTTTTTTTTTTTTTTTTTTTTTTTTTTTTTTTTTTACCCCAGGAACTAGGATAATTTTATTCATAATCCAATTGACAGACTTAATCTTGTGGTTATTTGTTATATATTCAGCCTGTTTATTCATCCATAAAATGAGACAGGTAAATGAAGGGGATATGAAGAACAAACGTGCTTTATGCAGTGTGCCTCAAATATATTTTGCTTCTAAAGATGTTCCCATAAATATCTCCTGAAATATACCTTTGCCCTGCCTTTCCAGTTCCTCATGGCCTCTATCTCAGGCTAGTCTCCAGACTGGTCAAGCTAGTCTTCAGACTGGTCCACACTAGCAAGCCTTACTAATTCCTGAGTATGCCAATGCCAGTAGATCTTTCTGACCACTTACAGGTCTGTGTCATACCTCTACTCTGAAACTTTCATTTCCACCATATAAACCCAAGGCCTTTTATCCTGGAATTCAAGATCTCCACAAGCCAACAGCTGCATCCCTCCAGAGCCTCTGATACCCCTCTCTTTTCATAGGTCCCCTTCTAAACAGGTTCCTCTCAGTATGCCTTACCAGGTTCTATAAACTCCTACCTCAGCCCTTTCCTACCGCTTCATCACAAACCTAGTGTATCTTCCTATGGCCCTTTCTTTCTTCAAGGCCCTCATCAATTCCTACCTCTTCCGTGAACTCTACACTGCCTTGTATTGGTCTTTATGTTTTCCATGAGTATGTATTGGATTACCACAAAGAGATTTCAGAGCTTTTCAAGCCTGGGGCCTTGCCTTTGCATCCTCACTGGGTAGCACACAATCTCATTCATGCAGGGGTAATAGATACTTGTGTTTTGTAATGATGACAATAACAGTGAGGTTTAATTGTCTCCTTTAGAGAGCTTCAGAAGACAACTGTCTAGTTTCTAGCAAGGATTGTTGAATCAGGTAGCTGATTTCTCTTATTCTCCCTTCGGAGGCAGTAGAGGAAGTCAGCAGATGTCTTTCTGAGTCCGCTCTCATGCCAGCTCTGCTGGCATTTGTAATCAACTCCTCCCTAGCTCTCTTGGTCATATTTTGAAATATGAAAAACAGAGACCTTGGGATATCCACTTTTCTGTTAGTAGGGTGCTGAACATCAGAGACTTAAGAAAACCCTTTCAGTCTTCCCGTTCAATGGCTATTCCTGTGCCTTGGTGAATCAGCACTTTAGCGGGGGCATCATCACTTCATTTCAGCTCCAGGGAAGGAGTTTTGCTTTCTGAAGTTCTGTGAGAGCAGGAAAGCAAGGGTTGTACACTGAACTTAGTGAGGAGGGCAAAGTAGATGGAAGAAAAACCATAGAGAGAATTCACTCAGAGAAAAGCGGAACTGAACAGCAAAATGTGTAAGCAGCTTCCCCTCCTCCTGCATGTCCTAGAAATTACAGTCTTGCTGGTATGCCCTTTCTTCATTTAAGGACACACAGACACACAAAATAAAACCCAAACCAGTGAACTGAAAGAGTGAGTCACGCCAGCCAGGCCTCTGCCAAGCTAGTCAATTAAAGTGCAAGACCAGTTCTGTGCTTTTCTTAGACCCTGAACTACTGTCTGACTTTCTTCCTGAATATTTTTGATAGGAAAAAAGTATATGCTGATTTCTGAGCAAGTTGATGTATATTGGCTCTCTTCTCATAAAAAGTTTCTAATCTTCCTTCAGAGGACTATTGAATAATTAAATGGGTTACTTGTCCCATGGAGGTCAAATCAGTCATCCTATGGTTTTGTAATGTATGTCTTACCATTAAGCTTTTGCTTTTATTCTCATGTTGTGTATTTTTGGGAAACATATTTGACCTAGATTTCTTCCTGAGTGCTTTATTGTTTTTTCTTAACAGGGAACGGGTATGGCAATCCCCGAAACTCACCAGGTCTGCTGGTCTCACCTGGTAACTTGAACAAGAATATGCAAGCAAAATCTCCTCCCCCAATGAATTTAGGAATGAATAACCGTAAACCAGATCTCCGAGTTCTTATTCCACCAGGCAGCAAGAATACGATGCCATCAGTGGTAATACAAAACTACATTTTAAATAAATATTGATAATGTTTTGTATATGTTTTGCTGTTTTTATGTTTGTCTAACTTGATGAATCACTTACATTCTCCCAGAAAATGAACACATCAGTGCCATTGACAGAGTGTTGCTTGTATTTAGCTATTATTTCTGGTAACTGGTTTGCATTTCCCTTTTCCGTGTTAAAAAAAAAAAAATCTAGTGAACTTCACTAGGCTGATGTTCTAGGACAAGAAAAACATTTTCTTTTAAGGCTTTCAATTTATAGCTGGAAAAAAATTACACACTACTATCAGTCAATCTCTATGTCCCATAAGCAGAGTAATAATAGGTAATAAGGTACTTCATAACATAGTATTTTTACAATATTTATTTCCTCAACATGCTGACAATGAAAAAATACTTTCCATAATTTCTAAATGAACTTTCTCCTGTTAATTAGCGAATCCTTTCTTAGATGTATTGCAATGATAATATCTAATACATCACATGCCTGCACACTACCTCAATTCATCTTTCCATATATGTACTTCATGAAAATAGCTATCTCTCAAAAGCAAATTGTGTTAAAATCCTAGGCATTTTAAGAACAAAGGTTATATTTTACATCAAAAAACAATTGTAGCACCTCTAAGAAAGATAAATAAATAAGAAATTTTAAATAGAGATTATATCCCCAGACGCTGTCATTTTTCTTTCTTCTGGGTCTGCATGCCTAAGATGAAGATTATGTTGTGGGACCAAATTCAACAACCAAGAGCCTTACATCAGTGTTCTACAAATTAGCTTTGCTTAAGAGCAAGAACGTTTAACACCAAGATTCAGTAGACAAATTTAGATCACTCTGCAAACACATTTCTTTTTTTTTTTTTTTTGCTTTCTCTGCTCTGTGGCAAGCTTCAGGGTACAACAGTCCTGCGAGATGATTAGTTTATTATGGCACAGTGCAGATTAATTTTGAATATCAACCAAAAAAATCACATAATATGCAACATTCCCTTCAGAAAAAACTGGGTCTAATAAATATAACCTCCTACAGGGCTACATCCAAGCAGTGTGGGCCGTGCATGACAAGCCATCTCTATCAACAGATTTATTCCAGGTCCCTTAAAACTGATGCTGTCCCAGGGAATCTGTGATGGGTCAGTTAGGTCCCTCTCTGGCAGCCAGGTGTAGCTCCCCTTCCTCCAGCAAGTGAGGTTTCAAAGCACAGTCTTTTTTTTTTTTGCCGTCAAAATGGAGTGATGAAATAATGAACATTGAGACACTGACCTGGGCTGAAAACCGGGTAGATTTGTCTTCACATTTGAGACAAACAGCTCATTAAGGGAAACAAAGAATGTCTTTGTAAGGAGTTATCTTTGGAGTCTGGGTTTTAAAACTGTTTAAACTGTTGTGTCTATCAGAAGATGCTTTTCCTTTTGTTGAAAAGATTTTGCCCAATTATAAATATTTATGGACACTAATTAATAAAACTCCTTCCGCATGCTCTCAGTCTGAGGATGTCGACCTGCTTTTGGTAAGTGGTGAGAGCGCTTCCCTCAAATGGCATGTGCAAAGCTACTTTTAGGAAGAGGTGGTAGCTTTGATAAAATTGAAAGATATTGGAAGTTACCACAGTATGTCAACATTGATTATGTTTAAATACCATTAATTTCTGGCATCACTCACAGGTGGAAAGAATGTCAGGTTATTTTTTTTCTGTTTCAATATTTTAGGACAATTTACAGTAAAATTCAAACAAAAATATTCTTTCATTATATAAAACTAAAATATTTCTTCTTCTGGGAATTAAAGTCTCATGATTTTAAGTTTATATGGGGAATCTTTTATCTCTTTACTGTAATGAGTTAAATATTCGCATTAGCTGCTTTGCCATCTAGTTTGAGGGAAGTTTTAGAAGAATCTGAACAAAGTGGTCAGAGCACCACCTGCTGGTCGGAATATAACATGAGCCCCTACTCATTTGCTCTCTGCTGTATGTAGAACTGAACATAAAAACTACCATGGTTGATTTTAATTTTTTAAAAATTTGCATTTGAATAAAAACTGAAACAATGGAAGTACAGTATACATATTTCATCAGTTTTCAACATAGTCTGTTTTTACCCATAATAAAGCTATGGTACTTGTTACTAGTTCTGTTGCCTAGGAGATACTGATGTAATGGGTTACTATGGCAACAGCTGGTCTCTTGAAGGATTGTAAATGATAGGGTTGGCAGAGTTCATAGAGACACATGTTAAATGATTAATTTCATGAGATTTATACCAAGTTATCTCTTTATGTGCAAAACTAATACTGAAATCTAATATTTTTAACTTTTAAAAATATTCCATCAGTAATGTCTTTTTATTTACTTTAAAAGAATCAAAGGATAAATAACTCCCAGTCGGCTCAGTCATTGGCTACCCCAGTGGTTTCTGTAGCAACTCCTACTTTACCAGGACAAGGAATGGGAGGATATCCATCAGCCATTTCAACAACATATGGTACTGGTGAGTAGCTTTGTCATGTGCAATTAGTACACTAAATACTTTTTATTGAAAAGCAAGATGAAAAAGTTATCTTTTACTCTGTTAGGAAGCTTTATTTAGGGCCTGTGCTGTCCACAGCACTGCAACATTACCATTCTTTACTAAGACAAAGTGAATATCCACGTTTTTCTTTCTTAACTGACTGAAAGTTTTATTTATGCAACCTGAGTTCAAAATAGAAGCACACTTTCAAGAAAATTGAGCTATTTCTTTGATGTAATAAAAAGCTCACTTTCTCAGGATTGTTTAACATTTGTACATCATCAAATATGTACATACCTTTATACTAGATTGTAGTTCTAATAAACTAGAATTGTAGACTATGTTACTTCAAAGCATTCATGGAATACTTATTTTTGGTTTATAGTATATTCCTTTTAAATTAAAATTATCGCTGATGCTTTATCTCCCCTCCTCCCAAAATCAAAAATATATATAATGATGATAATCCTAATAGAATATTTTGGAAATTGAAAATGTTTATTCCGTTTAGCATTTGATAATTTCTGAATTTAATATTTCCCCTTATTGTTTTATTCTTTTAATCTAGAGTACTCTCTGAGTAGTGCAGACCTGTCATCTCTGTCTGGGTTTAACACCGCCAGCGCTCTTCACCTTGGTTCAGTAACTGGCTGGCAACAGCAACACCTACATAACATGCCACCATCTGCCCTCAGTCAATTGGGGTAAGCAATATTATTTTTTATAGTATAATTTTAGAATGCATTTTAAAAAACAAATGGCGATCTCTAAATATGTGCTTTAATATCCCATTAGAGGGTGTAAAATTCTACTTTATTGAAATCCAAGTGTAATTTTCCAATCAATACTTTTCAAGTAGCTTAAATCTTGTATACCTGTTTTTTAAGAGGACAGCGAGCTCTGTAATAATGAGGCAAATTGTTTCCTTATTGCTTTAGGCTACGTTTGTTTCCACTTCTATCAGTGATAGAATTTTTATTTAGTTTTCACACAGTTCATTTGGAACTTAAGAAGGCATTTATAGTATAAGCTTAGATATTTGAGAATCTTTCTTTTTTCACATAAACCATATAGTTTATGCCAATGTTAACCTAATACACATAGGAACAACTAGTCATTTGATATACAAGCTTCATATATTTATAATGTATTCATAGTATAGTTGTATACTTATAGATATTGTTTGAAATAGGTGTATATAATACTAATTAGTACATATAATACTAATTTCCTAAATTTGGGTATAAAAATAATTTTTGTTTTATGTAGTCGTAGGATGTATCTTTCTGCCCCCTTGTGGTAGTTTTCAGATATGTCTTTATCATAGAAATGACTCCTGTCATTTATCTGTGGAAACGTTCAAACCTTTAAAAAGCTCTGAATTCACAATTCACACTACTTCATATAAAACAAATCATTTTTTTAAAAAGCTTAAAACGTAAACTGAAAGCCTGACTGTCAATTTAATAAGTCCAAAATTGCAATTAATCTTCAAAAGAAAATACCAGGAGCATATAAAATATTTAAAGATAACAAGCTTTTATATTTTAAAAATATTCTGTATGCCTAGCCCACTTTTACTTTTCTGCTTAGCCATTTGGTTATCATTAATCAATTAGCTGTATTAGTTAACTAGTTATATATCCGTATTTCTAAGGAGATAGTGAGAATAAAACATTGATTAGTATAAAAGTCACTGATATATACCACAACTTTGTGTCTCTTATGTCTGCTGGTGCCCTCTCTCCCCACCCACTAGCTTTCACATGATACTGATTTAGCATATATTAGTGTTGTGATTATGAAATATTCACCCATACACTGTTTGCTTATGTTCATCCTACCCACTAATCTTTGTCATTGAAAATCTAACCTTTCATTTAAATAGTAAGATAAATTCACATGACACTGTTGCTCAGCTTTCTTGAAAGATAGTTAACTTTGAAGATACATTATGTATTGATCAGCAACAGAGTTTTATCTTTTTAGGACACTTAAATTTTCTCTGGAATGTTAGCTATTCAAGTAGACATTAATTGTGGGAACCTCTTCAGGTAATTATCACCAAGCATAATACCATCCAGGCAACTAAAAAATATGTACATGTATACATATTTTGTACAAAATATCTACTGCTATGGCTTAGCAAGGAATCCACTGAACATGATTCTTGTCAAAAATAAACATAACCACTTATTTCCCATTTTTTTCACAAAATTAATCCATTATAGGGCTAGATTTCCCTGAAAGTTATCAACATCAAAAGCCATATTATTTTCTCTGAATGTGGCTTTTTTTGTTTTCAATAGTACCTGATAATTTACATTTTTACATATAAACACATATTTATTTACATATTTTAACTCTACTACAATTTTAAAACTCTTTTCTATTACAAAGGAAGAATCTAATTCTCTGCTGCCTCTAATAGAGGTTTCAGTAAATGAGAAAGGAGGGACAGCCCTAGACTAGAAAGAAACTGAATTACAACAGCCAAAGATGAAACATTTTGTTCAGCTCCCGGTTCCTTTCAACACTGAATTTCGTTGTGCTTAATTTGACTCTTAGTTTTATCTGTGAGTTTTAGTTGCACTTAATCACGTCCCTTACGCCTCAAATCAATGGAATGACCCTTCCAGTCCTTTCACTGTTGGCCCTCCTCTCTCTCTGCTTCACACACACTTTCTCTCCCTCTCACAATCACATACAGAGTAGCTTTTTGAAAGGAGGTTCCTTCACATGGACTACCTCATGTTCACACGATAAAATGTTAAACAGGTTTTTTTTTTTAAATCCCAAGCTGCAATACTTATGTAAAGTAATTTACATGAGCGTCCTTAATTCTTTACACAGTGTAAATCAATATAAAAAGAATTGATACATTTTCCAGGCCAAAGTTGTCTCATAGATTTGTGTGGCGGGCTCACATTCTTTTGGCTAGAGACAATGTTCATAGCAGAGTGGAATATATTTCAGCACCACCAAAGTAGATAATCCCAAAGCCCAAGATGGTTACCACAATTCTTTCTCAAAATTGCAAAACTATAAATAGAGTTCTTCATATTTTGCCCATGGAAAAAAGTTCATTTTGTCCTTTGGAGCTTTAAGTCTTCAAAGCTGTACTTTTAAAACCTAGTATCTGGTTTTATCTAACCAAGCTAAGTAAACAGCACAAATTGATTTGCTATAGGGAGAGAGATGGCTGACAGAGGAACTTGCTATCAAGAGTTAATGAAAGTCCTTTAATACTAATATTTGATTTAGAGTAACACTAAGTTTTAGTGTTTTTCTAAACTACCACCTATAAAAAGGGCAACCTGTTTTCTGGAAGCATTTCCATACGTCATCTTTGTCGATGTGGGTGTTCAGTACATACTGAGAGAGAGAGAACTCCGAGTAGAGATGACTTATAAAAGGTTAGGTTAAATATAGTTTGATAGTCTAATTTCCAGGCGGAGGCAGTAAAAAATTTGAATAAAACTATCCAGTCATGTTTGATTTCTGAACAATTATGGGAAAGGGTAGGAGTTTTCCCAATTCGAAAGCATCTGTAATAGATGAAAATTTGCATAGAGGACTTGATATGGGTAACTTGCATATCTGGCTTCTATCTCCCCACCCACCTCTTTATCACCCACCCACACATATGCAGTATTTCACAATTATCCAGGTCTATAATTATTCGTGTCTATATTTTGTTCTTAAGAACAAGTAGACCAACATGCTTATATCTGAACCTAGCATATATGCAGTTAAGTTATTTTAATGCTGCTTTTTTCTCTTCAAGAAAATACTTCTTTGTTAACAGATACTAGCCATTCTATTTTGTATCCTATGTCACAGTATAATGAAGCTGAATCTAAGATATCACTTGCATTTTATTACTGTGGATTTAGTCCCCAGAATTACTCAAAATGCTTCATGTATGTTTTCAGTGTCAAATGAAATTCCACCAAAAGATAAATTTAAGCTAGTCTGTTTGTAGAAAGGGATAACCAGTAATTGTTACATCTTTCATGGGAAAGATATGCAGCTAAACCTATACAGACCAGTTAACACAGGAAGATGAAGCAAAGAGGTGAATAATGCAGCTTCCAAAAACTGCGTTAAAGAAACAGAATTTTGGTTATATTATTTTTCCTTACCTTATCTAGATTAACTGTTAGACTGTCCAACTCACCAATTTTTTCTTCTAATTTTCTATGTCACCCTCCCTATGAAGACACAATCTATATGTCAAAGGGCAAGCCAAAGTATTTATTGATATATCACTTTTTATTTTCAGGCTCCTAATTCATATTCATTATTAAACAGTTGTGTGATTCATAGCAGAAACATTTAATTAAATTTTAGTGATATAGTCTTTCCTAGAGCCAGGAAAATTCTTTATTCCAGAAATCAAAAGACGATTTCCTCTAACATCAAAATGAATCACTAAGTAACTTTGAACCAAGATAAAATAGTCTACCATTATGGATCCTTTTGAAATACAGGAGTTCCCTTTCCCCATTTTAACAAGGCTTATTTAATTAAAATTTTGGAAAATTAGTAAACTGATAAAGACTATAAAATAATAAGCTACAAATAAATAGCTCCAAATATAAACAGGTATTTGAAAATTATATACACTTAGTGTAGTTTCTTTATGTAAATGCTAACACTGCTTTGATTATATAAGATCATAAAAGGTAGAGAAAGAAACGCTTATTAAGGAAACAAATAATTCTCCTTTATATTATTCTCTACATTAGCTCACCTATTTATTAATAGAAGGAAAGTAATTCTTTGCCAGTAGGTGGTGCTTTTGTACAAAACATCACTCAAAGATAAACTCGTTTCTGACTAATTTTATATCACTATACATCTTGAGTTTGTATCACATCTCCCAAAAAGCCAGCCCCAAGTTACTCCACTTTTTTTCTGAAATATATACTTTTTCTCTCAGTGCTCATAATGACATTGTTAGTGCCAACTAGTTCTCTCCACTGGAAAGCAGCGTAATTACATACATTAGTAAGTAGGCTCGCTTTCCTTTGTTTAAAATGGGTGTGTCTGTATGGATAATTTTTCACGTGGATTCTTCCTCAATAAAAGAGAGTACCGTACTCCCTTGACAATATAGTCAAGTAATCCTGACTCTAGCTGTGGAAGTCAGTGTAATCAGTGTAAGAAGAGTAAAAGCATCTTAAAATTGATGCCAGCAATGTCACTATGGTTTATCCTGATCAAAGTCATTGTGATTGCTCATCTACACTTAAGGGCTTAATGCTTTTTTCCTCTAGAATTCCAAGTTTCTAAATTTTCCCAGATTTTGGAAGAAGGAAAAATTATTCTCTCTGGGAATATATGAGGATTAAGGATTATAAACACAGTAAAATCACACTACATCCTTCTTCGCAACAAGCTTTCCTTAGGCAACACCAGATTCATCGACTAATACCAATGATACATAAGAGGAGTGGTAGCCTAAGAATTCCATCAGGGAGTGACTAGCATTAATAAAATTGAGGTAATTGTGGAACACAGAGTATTTTCATCTGACCTAACTGCAAAAGGATGAAGAAAGTCAAATTATCAGTTTTAATGGAGTAGAAAGTCTAAGTGTTTTAAAACCAACATTTAAACTTTCTGCAGAAAATTTTCAATTTCCCTCACCTTTTCCCTTTTTTCCACCTCCCATGCTTTTTACCAGATATAGTTATTGTGTAGCATTTGAGTTCTAGTCATTTAAAATTTGAACTCCCTTCACGTTCTCTGAAGACTATGTAACTCCATCTGTATGTGCTTATTAATTAGAGGCAAATATTTATATTGATAATAAGCTTTTAAAATTAATATTCAAACACAAGCATTAGTAAATCAAGGAAGTCTAATTCCAGAGCTAAACACTGTATCTAAAGGCTTAGAAATTTAATTTTTGGAACTAGTCTAGGGATAGAGTCCACGAACACAGAAAATGCTTTTTCCATTGTGTCTTAAACCTTTCTGAAATGGTAAACTGAATGTTTAGGGAGCCTGTCAGAGACTAGAGATATATTTCATGAGGCCTGGACCAGTTAAATATTGTAATTACTACCGGGCAAATCAACAAAGGCATCCTAAATCGCCCTAAGAAGGCGATGCCCTTATGTGCTTCCAAGCACGTTCTCTTCACTCTGGGCATGCTCTGGTGTCTATGCGAGTCTTTAAGCTGATGTTTGATGTAATTGTGAGTTCCTGGGGCCTCCAGGCCTCCTTCATCTGTAACTGGGTTTCCTTTCCTCCTACAGAGCTTGCACTAGCACTCATTTATCTCAGAGTTCAAATCTCTCCCTGCCTTCTACTCAAAGCCTCAACATCAAGTCAGAACCTGTTTCTCCTCCTAGAGACCGTACCACCACCCCTTCGAGATACCCACAACACACGCGCCACGAGGCGGGGAGATCTCCTGTTGACAGCTTGAGCAGCTGTAGCAGTTCGTACGACGGGAGCGACCGAGAGGATCACCGGAACGAATTCCACTCCCCCATTGGACTCACCAGACCTTCGCCGGACGAAAGGGAAAGTCCCTCAGTCAAGCGCATGCGACTTTCTGAAGGATGGGCAACATGATCAGATTATTACTTACTAGTTTTTTTTTTTTTTTTCTTGCAGTGTGTGTGTGTGCTATACCTTAATGGGGAAGGGGGGTCGATATGCATTATATGTGCCGTGTGTGGAAAAAAAAAAGTCAGGTACTCTGTTTTGTAAAAGTACTTTTAAATTGCCTCAGTGATACAGTATAAAGATAAACAGAAATGCTGAGATAAGCTTAGCACTTGAGTTGTACAACAGAACACTTGTACAAAATAGATTTTAAGGCTAACTTCTTTTCACTGTTGTGCTCCTTTGCAAAATGTATGTTACAATAGATAGTGTCATGTTGCAGGTTCAACGTTATTTACATGTAAATAGACAAAAGGAAACATTTGCCAAAAGCGGCAGATCTTTACTGAAAGAGAGAGCAGCTGTTATGCAACATATAGAAAAATGTATAGATGCTTGGACAGACCCGGTAATGGGTGGCCATTGGTAAATGTTAGGAACACGCCAGGTCACCTGACATACCAAGAATGCTCACAAACCTGCAGGCATATCATTGGCGTATGGCACTCATTAAAAAGGATCAAAGACCATTAAAAGAGGACCATACCTATTTAAAAAAAAATGTGGAGTTGGAGGGCTAACGTATTTAATTAAATAAATAAATCTGGGTCTGCATCTCTTATTAAATAAAAATATAAAAATATGTACATTACATTTTGCTTATTTTCATATAAAAGGTAAGACAGAGTTTGCAAAGCATTTGTGGCTTTTTGTAGTTTACTTAAGCCAAAATGTGTTTTTTTCCCCTTGATAGCTTCGCTAATATTTTAAACAGTCCTGTAAAAAACCAAAAAGGACTTTTTGTATAGAAAGCACTACCCTAAGCCATGAAGAACTCCATGCTTTGCTAACCAAGATAACTGTTTTCTCTTTGTAGAAGTTTTGTTTTTGAAATGTGTATTTCTAATTATATAAAATATTAAGAATCTTTTAAAAAAATCTGTGAAATTAACATGCTTGTGTATAGCTTTCTAATATATATAATATTATGGTAATAGCAGAAGTTTTGTTATCTTAATAGCGGGAGGGGGGTATATTTGTGCAGTTGCACATTTGAGTAACTATTTTCTTTCTGTTTTCTTTTACTCTGCATACATTTTATAAGTTTAAGGTCAGCTGTCAAAAGGATAACCTGTGGGGTTAGAACATATCACATTGCAACACCCTAAATTGTTTTTAATACATTAACAATCTATTGGGTCAACTGACATCCATTGTATATACTAGTTTCTTTCATGCTATTTTTATTTTGTTTTTTGCATTTTTATCAAATGCAGGGCCCCTTTCTGATCTCACCATTTCACCATGCATCTTGGAATTCAGTAAGTGCATATCCTAACTTGCCCATATTCTAAATCATCTGGTTGGTTTTCAGCCTAGAATTTGATACGCTTTTTAGAAATATGCCCAGAATAGAGAAGCTATGTTGGGGCACATGTCCTGCAAATATGGCCCTAGAAACAAGTGATATGGAATTTACTTGGTGAATAAGTTATAAATTCCCACAGAAGAAAAATGTGAAAGACTGGGTGCTAGACAAGAAGGAAGCAGGTAAAGGGATAGTTGCTTTGTCATCCGTTTTTAATTATTTTAACTGACCCTTGACAATCTTGTCAGCAATATAGGACTGTTGAACAATCCCGGTGTGTCAGGACCCCCAAATGTCACTTCTGCATAAAGCATGTATGTCATCTATTTTTTCTTCAATAAAGAGATTTAATAGCCATTTCAAGAAATCCCATAAAGAACCTCTCTATGTCCCTTTTTTTAATTTAAAAAAATGACTCTTGTCTAATATTCGTCTATAAGGGATTAATTTTCAGACCCTTTAATAAGTGAGTGCCATAAGAAAGTCAATATATATTGTTTAAAAGATATTTCAGTCTAGGAAAGATTTTCCTTCTCTTGGAATGTGAAGATCTGTCGATTCATCTCCAATCATATGCATTGACATACACAGCAAAGAAGATATAGGCAGTAATATCAACACTGCTATATCATGTGTAGGACATTTCTTATCCATTTTTTCTCTTTTACTTGCATAGTTGCTATGTGTTTCTCATTGTAAAAGGCTGCCGCTGGGTGGCAGAAGCCAAGAGACCTTATTAACTAGGCTATATTTTTCTTAACTTGATCTGAAATCCACAATTAGACCACAATGCACCTTTGGTTGTATCCATAAAGGATGCTAGCCTGCCTTGTACTAATGTTTTATATACTAAAAAAAAAAAAAATCTATCAACCATTTCATATATATCCCACTACTCAAGGTATCCATGGATGGAACATGAAAGAATAACATTTATGCAGAGGAAAAACAAAAACATCCCTGAAAATATACACACTCATACACACACATGCACAGGGGAAAAAAATAAGAAAATCATTTTCCTCACCATAGACTTGATCCCATCCTTACAACCCATCCTTCTAACTTGATGTGTATAAAATATGCAAACATGTCACAAATGTTCTTTGTCATTTCAAAATACTTTAGTATATCAATATCAGTAGATACCAGTGGGTGGGAAAGGGTCATTATATGAAAATATGAAGAAATAGCCATATTAGTTTTTTAACCTGCAATTTGCCTCAGCAACAAAGAAAAAGTGAATTTTTAATGTTGAAGATAAAGTAAGCTAAAGTACCAGCAGAAGCCTTGGCTATTTATAGCAGTTCTGACAATAGTTTTATAAGAACATGAAGAGAACAGAATCACTTGAAAATGGATGCCAGTCATCTCTTGTTCCCACTACTGAATTCTTATAAAGTGGTGGCATGATAGCGAAGGGATAATCTGAGAATTTTTTAAAGATGATTTAATGAGAAGAAGCACAATTTTGATTGTGATGAGTCACTTTCTGTAAACAATCTTGGTCTATCTTTACCCTTATACCTTATCTGTAATTTACCATTTATTGTATTTGCAAAGCTAGTATGGTTTTTAATCACAGTAAATCCTTTGTATTCCAGACTTTAGGGCAGAGCCCTGAGGGAGTATTATTTTACATAACCCGTCCTAGAGTAACATTTTAGGCAACATTCTTCATTGCAAGTAAAAGAACCATAAGTGGCATTTTACACGGCTGCAAGTATTGTTATATCTAATCCTATTTTAAAAGACTTTTAGTAATATGAAGCTTGAATGCTGGTAACAGTGATGCAATATACACAAGCTGCACAACCTGTATATTGTATGCATTGCTGCGTGGAGGCTGTTTATTTCAACCTTTTTAAAAATTGTGTTTTTTAGTAAAATGGCTTATTTTTTCCCAAAGGTGGAATTTAGCATTTTGTAATGATGAATATAAAAATACCTGTCACCCTCAGATCATTTAAAGGTTAACTAAAGTGAGAATGAAGAAACAAAATTCCAAGACACTTTTTAAAAGAATGTCTGCCCTCACACACTTTTATGTATTTGTTTTCCTTACATGCCCATCTTTTACTTAGAGATAGCATTTTTTGCCCTCTTTATTTTGTTGTTTGTTTTTCCAGAGAGTAAATGCTTTGTAGTTCTTTCTTTAAAAAACATTTTTTTTTAAAGAAGAAGCCACTTGAACCCTCAATAAAGGCTGTTGCCTAAGCATGGCATACTTCATCTGTTCTCGTTTGTGCCATCTGCCGTGATGTCGTCACTTTTATGGCGTTAATTTCCTGCCACTACAGATCTTTTGAAGATTGCTGGAATACTGGTGTCTGTTAGAATGCTTCAGACTACAGATGTAATTAAAGGCTTTTCTTAATATGTTTTAACCAAAGATGTGGAGCAATCCAAGCCACATATCTTCTACATCAAATTTTTCCATTTTGGTTATTTTCATAATCTGGTATTGCATTTTGCCTTCCCTGTTCATACCTCAAATTGATTCATACCTCAGTTTAATTCAGAGAGGTCAGTTAAGTGACGGATTCTGTTGTGGTTTGAATGCAGTACCAGTGTTCTCTTCAAGCAAAGTAGACCTGGGTCACTGTAGGCGTAGGACTTGGATTGCTTCAGATGGTTTGCTGTATCATTTTTCTTCTTTTTCTTTTCCTGGGGACTTGTTTCCATTAAATGAGAGTAATTAAAATCGCTTGTAAATGAGGGCATACAAGCATTTGCAACAAATATTCAAATAGAGGCTCACAGCGGCATAAGCTGGACTTTGTCGCCACTAGATGACAAGATGTTATAACTAAGTTAAACCACATCTGTGTATCTCAAGGGACTTAATTCAGCTGTCTGTAGTGAATAAAAGTGGGAAATTTTCAAAAGTTTCTCCTGCTGGAAATAAGGTATAATTTGTATTTTGCAGACAATTCAGTAAAGTTACTGGCTTTCTTAGTGATGCAGTGTCCGTGGTGCATTTTTTTAAATTAATGTTTTGCTGTTTAAATTTATTCAATTTTATTGGGTTTTTTAAAAAGCAGCTTATGCCACATGCACAAATGAGCTTTCTCAGTTTTCAACTCAAACTATTACATGAAAAGACGGATATGTGTGCGTGGGAGGGGTGTGAATTGGGTAACAGTTCTTAGGGTATTACAGAATTCAGCCAGTGTTGGAAGTTTAAGGTTCTTATTGAATGGTTCAACTTCTTTATCAAAGAAGTTCCATGAAGATCTCTGATAACCTGTTTAAATGTACAGAATTTTTCAAGTTACTGTGAAAAGCAGTACCATAAAATAAGTTAGTTTTTAACTAAAATCTGCAGGAAGTGTTTCCAAAAGCACTTCCTTTTTCTTCATCAGAGTAATTTCTAAAGGTTGAAAACATGGGCTTATAAATCTGAATACATTAGTGAATTCATACATTTTTAGAGACTATCAAAGGTATTCATTATTAACATTCAATAGTAATCTCTAAAGGGGAATGTCCTTAAAAAGATCAATACAAAGATTAAAAACTGAAAAGGAAAACAAGACACTACCAGTTAGCCAGCTGGAGAACTTGGACTCTTGCATTAGTAGTGATATCTGCTCTGAAACAAATGCAGTTCGGGGAAATGTTGCCTATGGCTTCAAAATAACAGTGCTTTTTGCTTTGTTCTCTTGTATTCATTTTCAGCAAACTTTTATTAAGCAATTATTATATGTAACTCATGTGGTGATTCCAGGATGAATGAAGATGTAGCCCTTTATCTTAGGAAACTTATAAACTAATAGGAGATAAAAGGCATTCTCAGGGAAGTCTACAAAGTACTACGCGGGAGCCACTCTGGCCATCCTGGGGCAGAGCAGAGCAGAGGCTCAGATCCTGGACACTTCCTCATCCACCCAGCAGAGGAAGCCTTTCACTTAATTTTGAAGGTGGGCAGGATTGAGAAAGGCCCAGAAGGGGATGAGTTCAAGGCTGTTTGTGGGCATGTGATCCCTGCAGTCACACACGGCCCTACCTTGTGTTTCATTTCGTGTTCTGCTATCATTATCCTGATAATATCCTGGTAATAAAATTATCCTTAATAATTCTATGTTTGAGTTTGAATGTTGTAAGTAAAGTTCAATAGGACAATAAAGCATGTGCCTGAGCAGAGGAAATACACAGGAAAAAGCGAACTGTTTTATATTTTAGTACCTTTAACAGAGGGAACCTTTTGTTTTGCTTTTTCAACAAGGACTTCCACATTTTCATTTTGCAGTGGGCCCTGGAATTATGACACCATCCCTGGATGAGGGCATTTCACAAGGAAGAAATAGTAGATACAAAGGGTACAGAGATAGGAAAGCAAGAGACAAACTTGCAGGAATTGTGGGCCTTTCTGTTTAGGTAAAGTATAGCCGTGTGTAGGGAGCAGTGAGAGACAAGACTGGAAGAGTTAGTTTGCCTCTGATTGTATGTATAATCACAAATTTAAAAGAATTAGGCTTAAGCAATTAATTGAAAGATTTAGGAGAGAGAAAATTGTCAGAATTCAGTAAATGGTTAGATTAATGGTAGGAATGGTGATAGATAAGGAATTGTTAAACTTTACAGTTTTAGGCTTAAATGATTAGGATCCTAGTAATGTCCAAATTGGAAATTGAGAGGTCACTGCTTTGTGAGGAAGGTAGTCACTTCAGTTTTCAGTATGTTGAGTTAGAATATGAGAATGTTGTAAATAAAGACTTAAACTCAGGATATCAGTAAATGCTGGCCTGATTTGGATGTGTGGGGTTTTTTTTTCTTTCAATTATGTTTGAAAGTCTGGATTAAATAGAAATACTGAATTTGGCAAGGGAACCCTATTCAGAACACAGCATCTGAATTTTCATCTTGTGATTTGAGAAAACCCTTTTTCCATTTTGTTTGCATATTTCTATGGCATCTTTCCTATGTGTTATCCTTGCAGATTGACTTCTAAACAAGATCCAGTGATGAAGGAGGAAAGCCAAGTTTGCTTCCCTACTGTGCATATCCCTTGGATTCCAACTGTCCGTATTGCCTGAGAGCAAATATCTCCATCACCGAAAATGAGGCTGCTCTTTAATTTCTCCTGTCCCAAGCACAGCCTCCTTCCTGGGAACTTTTGTTAAGAGTTAGAATTAGGAAAACATGGGAAATGGTCACTGTTTCTGGTCTTAAAGTAGTTTCTAATCTTAACGATAACCTTGGCTGCCAAATCATCAGCTCCATCTCTTACCCAGTCTGTATTGCTTCAGACTGGAGGAAGAACTTCCAGCCTTCATATACCCATTTTTAGTAGCCAACTTCTAGAAAGGATGCTCACCCTTTGAATCTGGCAACTCAGTACAAAGGCCAGACTGAAATGGGAGGAAACATGAACTACACTAGTGGGACAATTCTACATGGAATAAAAAGTAGTTAGGAGAGCACTTTGCTCAAACACTCCAGGGCCAGAAATGTAGGGGCCTTGCTAGTTCCCTTGGCACGTTCCACCAAGGGAGAGCCAGTGCCTGGGAGATTGCAATGGTAGGGGCAACCTAAGGAAACATGCTGAAGTTGGTGTGTGAGTGGGGGCATGACACTAACAGTCCCTTCCCTAGAATGGACTTGACCTACATGACCTTATTTAACCTACTTGATGACACTGTGACAAGAGTGCAGTTTTCTTTGAGAGGTCTTGGTTAATAATTAAACCAACTATGCCCCTCACAAGCTAAGTAACATTTGTAAACTTATTTATTCCCTCTAAGCACTGATTTTCTCTAAGTCACAGAGTTTATCACTAACTCAGAGGGTTGCTGAGGCTCCATTAAGACTTAATAGGTGCTAATCACTGAAAAGATTGGGAGCCCCACTCTCCCACAAGTTACTCAAAGTAAACACAATGCTACTCCGTAAAATGATGGTAAAAGAAATCAACAAAGTTCTGATTTTTCCTATGATGACCACAGTATGCTATTTTATTTCTTTAGGAATATCACATTCTCAAAAGATAATTTGGTAGGACCCTACATTGCTAATGCTCAAAGCACATACTCCACTTACAGAGAAAGTCGAGCTGTGCAGGTATTCATCCCAAAGCTTCACACTACTAGTGCTAAATATATCAAAACATAGACTTTTCTAGAAGTGATAGTTACAGAAACAATTACTTTCTTCAAACATTTATTCCAGAAATATTCTATATGATATGCTCATTTATTTTTACAAGGGAGAGAGCCCTGTTTGGAAATGCAAACCTATGTGTATGCAAAAGCTTACATGTGTAATATTCTTCATTAAAGTATAAGGAAGGTGCCTATCCCTACAAGAGTGCTTAAGTAAATTGTGATACATCCTCCCAATTGAATACTATGTAACCATTTTTCGGAAAACACAAAACAAACTAAAGCCTCTATGTACTGATACGGAAAACTCCAGAACATATCATTAGGTAAAAAGCAATAATAGAGCAGTGTATAGAGCATGGTACCTTTCAGTTAAGAAAAGGAGGAGACCAAAGCAATAAGTTTTCTTAAATTTGCATAAAGAAACCCTAGAAGAATACACAAAGAAATGAAAATACAGCCGGGCACAGTGGCTCATACCTGTAATCCCAGCACTTTGGGAGGCCGACGCAGGTGGATCACCTGAGGTCGGGAGTTTGAGACCAACCTGGCTAACACGGTGAAACACCATCCTACTAGAAATAAAAATTAAAAAATGAGCTGGGGTGCTAACACACCTGTAATCCGAGCTACTCGAGAGGCTGAGGCAGGAGAATTGCTTGAACCCAGGAGATGGAGGTTGCAGTGAGCCAAGATTGTGCCACTGCACTCCAGCCTGGGTGACAGAGCGAGATTCCATCTAAAAAAAATAAAAAACTTAAAAAAAAAAAAAAAACAGATATGAAGAAAGTAGTTACCAAAGTGGTAAGGGTTTGGGGAAAGAGGTGAATGAGAGGAAAGATTTAACAACACATACTTTTAAATATTGCTTTTATTTTTGAACTATATAATATGCTACTTCTTTTTTTTAAGATTTTAGTTTGAAAATAAGCCTTCCCCAAAAAAGCAAATGCCACACACTGAATAGATTTATAGGGAACTCTCCTCTAATGAAGCGGCCTTTGGAAAGAAAACGCCAGTGTGTTGAGCAAACCTCAGGACTGATAGACTCGCCTCTAGGATTCTCCAGGCACAGGCGGCTTCAGCTGTCAGTTCTGGATGACAGGACCACAACCTTAAGGTTAGCAGTTTGCTTCTCTATTGACTACACTAATGGCCAAAGAGCTTTACTCAAGCAAGCAGTTTTCTATAATTAAATCACAAATATGAATTTAGAATTCATCCCATAAGGTTTAATTTACTCTGCCTAGTTAATAATCAGTTTATCCTATCAGCCATCTAATATTAAGGCTATAAATCTAGAGATCTTTGCTGAATTTCTGTTGCTTCCTTGCTCATTGTCATTGTAACCTCCTCCCCTACGACCAACCCAGCTATAGTATTAGAACACAGAAAACATGTCATCCTTACCAACTCCTGTGTCCTGTGTCCATAACAATCGGCTGAAATTGCATGGAGATTATGTTACTTTTTGGTACTTTCAAATTCATCAGCTAAATTTCCAATTAAGTTTTGGGAGGCTGAAAATAATATTTTTCACTATTTTCCATCTTTCCATTTTTTCCATTTACTATCCTGGTTTATGTGCTTTGCATGTGAAAAAAAATTATTTGAGCCAATCGAAAACATTTTCTTTACTTCAGAGTTCTACTGGCAATAAAAGAATAATGCTTTCCCTCATGAATATGTACAATTGTTATTTGTCAATTAAAATAAACTTTTTTTTTCCAAAAATAAAGAATAATACTTTCTGGCCAGGAGTGGTAGCTTATACCCTGTAATCCCAATCATTTGGGAGGCTGAGGTGAGTCGATCACTTGAGCTCAGGAGTTTAAGACCAGCCTGAACAACATAGTGA